TTCGAAAGTTTGATCCACTGACCCCAAATTTGTTTTAAAATAAAAGAGAACATCGTCAGGAGACCATACATGATCGAATACCCGCCTCCTGATTCTTTTTAGAATGACTAGTGTCACTGAAAACAATCACACTGTAAATCTAGACGAACCCTGTATACTGGCATATGAAAAAAATGAAATTAAAAGACAAATAAAAGAGACACTACTGACGCACGAACAAAAAAAGCTAGCCTACAATGATATTTCATTAAAGACAGTGATATTCGGTTAGACAGTCTAGAAAATAACAGTCCAGAATAGAAAAATGTAACCGTCACTCGACTATATACTACATATTTTTCTATGTTTAAGTTTTTCTAGTATTTTTCGTTCTCCGCTGTTTTAACTAGTATGTATATTCATCTCTCTTCTAAATTCACAATCATATTAGCCTGATGATGATACTGTAAAGTATCGAAAGCTCGCTTCTTGTGTAAAGTGATTTTACAAAAATGTTTTTCAATTATATTAAATGTGCTTAGTTTTATAAGAAACGTAAAAAAGTCAAAGAATGTCAAGACACTGTGTAGATTTCCGCTTAGGAACTTGATGAACACAGAATTATTTTGACCGAATCTGGGCGAAAAAATAATTTTCTCTCGACTAATACGCACGATCTTCGACTTTAGGGTTCTCGCACAAACTTAACATGAAATTCGTGACCAGTACGGTCGATTATATTTTCCGAAAGAGGCTCTAATGGAATCTAACTTGAATCATTAAATTCAATGTCTGTATGGAGAAATCACGAAAATGTGACATCAAGCGTTCGATAAACTGAACAGCCCAAAATGCTCCGAATTTTAGGCTGATCACGTGCGAGTTGAATTTTGACAAAAATCTTTCAACGGAGTGATATGGAAGATTATCGGACCTCCTTTTCTTAAGCGAAATAGTTACGAGAACTGATGTGGCTAGAATGGACTCAAAACAGATTTCGTATGCGTCCACCTTTATATAAACGTGTAGCCCCTGATCAGACCTTCTAGATTATATGAGATTCGTAGCAAAGTTCTTCATTAAGGTGGTAACAACAAATTTCTTTCTAGCATGTCTATGTATATCTATGGTGGCGGCATAACTCGGACACGTCAGAATTGAATAAAATTGAACTTCCTTCTATTTTGCATTTGTGGTTGGCGAAGGTGAAGGGCCGTGCAGAAGGTAAAAGAAAGAAAGAATAACGACATCTATGTACGAATGAACGTTTTTATTCATTCAAATACGAGTGACAACGTGAGCTCTTTTCTTCACGATCAATTCTGTCATCATTACATTCGGAACCACTTACCAAGCCTATGATCATCGGCGTTCGCTGTGCAAGTACTGCGGGACTATTCCAAACTCTCCTTGATGTACAGCTATTCTTTCACTCATGCTGCAGTGCGAAATCATTCTCCAATATAATCCGAAAGGTCGAAAGGGAAACAATCAGTAAGTTTCTCGAGACCGAATGCATCACCACAGCCACCGCTCGCTCATAATTAGTTGAAAAAGAAGAAGTAAGAAACCGATCGATCTCCACTGCGCGCGTTCATTATGATCGGGATTACTTTTCAAACAAGCAACTGTCCGTTCTCCTTCGTCTTCATTTACAAACACAATCCCCTTTGTAGCCCACTCGATCGCATGAAACTGTAGCTCGACATTCTCCTGCAAAAGACTGCATGTGAAGAAGAGTCACAAACTTTCGTATCTAACCTTCAACCTCGATAGGCGGGTCGACCAGTGTGGATGTTCTCTCTCTACGAGTTCAATTTTGTCACCGACAGTCGCAACCGATCTTTCTTTCACTCCTGAATCTCACTACTCATTCTCGCACGGTCAACTCGCCCGTGCAACATGTCAAAACCATTTCAAAATTTTCCATGTTAGCCGGTACCTTCGGATAACTGCTCCCTTTACTTTTATGTCTAAATAAAACTATATATATACATCAGTGAACTGCAAAATACCGCACCAAGGTCAAGTGAGAGAACGCATTGGAATATATCAGTGCAGCTGAATAAGATCAATTGAAAGAGCACGATATAGAATAACTTATGAACACACAAGCGAAAAGAAAGAGAAGTATACAAAACAAGAGAAGAACAGAAAGAGGACATCGCGTTTCTAAATTTTCAATGATAGCGGTATATTCGAAGCAAAGAACTAAAGACAAATCTGTCAGATTTTGGACTAACCATACCTGGGAAAAAGAAACTTGACAGTTTCGCAATTTATTTCACGTGGAGGATTCAAATCTGATTTCAGAGTTTCCAGGTCTTATCACTACAGAGAAGTAGAGACGATCACTATACAATTCTGATCTCAGTCACATATGGGTCATGTCCATCATAGCAAAATGATTAGCATACGAACCTGACTGTTTTAATTATTGCACAACATAGCCCACTAGCGTTTCACAGCAGCCTCATCGGTCGACCAGAGAGATATCTTTTCGAGTCTAAGGTCAATGAGATTCTTTTTTAGAAACTGAAATTAATTACTAGTTTCAGTTGCTACGCTCTCCATAAAATTGTTGAGTAATAACATCACAAAACAAGAAATGATGCAAGAACTGACTCACTTCTTCTGTCACCACGGAATGCATACACGAGGATTTATTATGATAAAATGACAGAACTGCGTAAAACATTTTTCTGTCGTGCACAGAACGATAAAACGTTAAAAAACCCTTTCAAATTATTTTGGGATCAAGATAACAAACGTAAAACTGCAAAACATACCAAAAAAATTACTACTGATAACATCGAGTCGATTGCACAACTTCAATCGTTGTACAGAATATAGATACAGAACGGTGAATTTAGTTTTGTAGTTTACTACAAAGCTAAGTTCACATGTTCGAATCTCTATTCGTACAAAAATTGCTTTTGTGTTTTTCGATAGTTTTAGCTTAGAATATTATAATGGAATATTCTTCCGCTTGTATTCTGACAGAATAAAGCTATAAAAAACTGCATGTCTCTAGTCAATCGACTGTGGTGCCCTTCATTTTGCCAAAGAGTGCACAAATTCAACATCAAGTGGACATTTATTCTTCACGAAAAATTGTAACGAAAAATCAATAAGAGATCGTTGCATCTCTAGATAGAAAACTGTATCAGCTTCACGAAGGCACCATACTGGTCCCATACCACCGTTTCGCTTTTGTTTAAATAAAATCAGTCCAGGAACTTTTTGCACGCCCTACGTAAGTAATTACTGTATTTACTTATTGACTAGTAAAGTGTCACCCCTAGTCGGAACTGACCATAGCAGCTGTACTCACTCTCACGCCATGGTGGAGACGGCCACCTGAAGACATCCGTAACCAAGGTCGAAACGCGTCGTGAGCGTTTAGCCCATGGCACGAGTGTCAGTTCTAATACCTTTTGATTGCTGAGAAAAATTATTTTTCTAAATCAGAGGAGAAAAAGTCCGAGTTTTGCCCGTAAGTCTCATCTTTGTCCACCAGAACTCATGTTTTATGCAATAGAAATACCATATTCAGATCAGAAACAAAAACTGAATCGAATGATTTGTGTTTCGAAATTTTTAATTGATTTTCAGTTTTCGGTGAAAATCTCGATAATTTTTGAACGTGAAAATTCGAAAAAAGCGAAAGTTGTCGGATAGGATGAAAGAATACATCATTCGGCTCAGTTTTTGATCCTGATTGTAAATATGGTATTGCTTTTGTATAAAGAGTGAGTTCTGGCAGAGAAAATGAGGCTTACGGGCAAAACTGCGACTTTTTCGAGTCTGATTTAGACAAAATAATTTTTCTCAGTAACCAAAAGGAATTTTAAAAAACTGCACGTGTACTGTTGAAGGGGGGTATCTGGCGAATCTAGCGATGTAAAAGCATTGGCTCTGGAATATCTAGAAAAACCTGTGTTAGGTTTGCAAAATCGGTCTCGGACTTTTAGCCGTACCTGTTTCGGGCATTACCAAAAATCCATTTTTCGTTCTGAACCCTTGAAATATGGTGTTTTAGAGTCACTTTTTGATGCTGAATCTAGAAAACTTAGTTTCAAGCATTGAAATCAAAACGAGCAAAAACTACGTCCATTTTTTTGAAACCTTGCATTTTTTCGGTTTTTGACATCTTTCGAGTATTTCCAGTTTTAGGACGGATAAAAAGTCTCCAAAAAAAGCGAAGAGCACATATTTGTGATCAACTCGATGCTCTCTATCGAATGGTGCATAAAAGGATCGAAAGTAAATTTCATAGAAAGTCTGCTTTCTATGCATCTTACAAAAATCACTAGAATCACTCATATATATACACCTATACGAAAAATATAAGACAAAACACATGATATCACATGAGAAGAAGAAAGAAAAACTACATTTTCTTTTTCAGTAAACGCACGTGTTGTGCAAAGGTGCTACAAAAATTGAATAATCCAAGACTAGTCTATTTTCACAATTCGGGCGTGCTTGATTCACAGTATCCATCTCATGCATTACACAGGCATGCAAGAATCGAGTCAGATACGTGACTGGCGTCTATGTATACGGGTCCGCTGCTGGTATGCTGCTTGACAGCCAAAGATATGAAGTTTGTCTGTCCTTCTAGCCACATGCATTATTCGGGCAGTCATATAGTGCTACTTATCGAAAACGAGTTCATAACTTCTGCGTGAAGGACGATAGTATTCATTTTCATTGCAGGGTAGCTTAGTCTATTAGGGCACTTTTCAACACATAATGGTACCACCGAGTTGCGACCATCATATACCATAATGGTATATGATGATCGCAACTTATCTAAAACACCGAATGTTTTTTCACAAGCAGAAAAAAAGATATTATATCACCACATAAAATACAATTATTTATTTGACAGTATACTGCATTACTATTTGAACGTTCAATGCGTTTATAAAAAAAATGAAATGATATGTTATTTTTTCGTATTTACATTTTGTGTAATAACTGTATACATTATTTTGAAATATTCATCATAGTTGCTATTTCATTCGAATATCAGCTGGTGGTTGAAAACAATCATGCTCCATACAAAGTGTTGGTGCATTATTTCGTTGTAATTGATTCTCTTTTCGAGCTTTATGTTTTCTTAATGCGACATCGATTGCATAATAATAAATGATTTCTTGTACCAAAATTATTCTTTTCTAAATAGCTCATCATACTTTCAAATGGAAATGTTGATATGTTCCAACTGAACCGTAGTGGTCATATTCTTTTGGATAATGTAAATGTACATGCATTGCTAATGTTTCTAGG